CCTATAGGTGGCATATAGAATGAAGTGATATAAACACGATTCTACATCAATCTCTAACATGATTAAGAGTATCTGACAAAAGCCCCACAAACAGATAATTTCATTAAAAATTATATACTTTTCGATAAAATATTTGCAGGAATATTCTTCATATCACTGAGCAAGTTAGTGTACTAGACAGTGAAAATATACAATACATGTGACAGAATATAGAAACTAACAGTCATTGTATTGTAGGAAAGTCTGATGATGACAAACAAGAAACATTGTAAAAGCCTTTAAACATACCTAACTTTAACATACTGAAAATAATGTAGTATCATCGTTAGGACAACAAATGGAAAACAATATTGGTTAATGTAAAGAGAACTAGCCACAAACATTACAAATGATATAGATGAGTATTATGAGAAGAAATGGGAAACAATGCTGGTAAATGTAAAAAAGAGCTAGCCATAACACTGGAAACTACAAGTATAGGAATATTATGACAACAAATGGAAAACAAGGCTGGTAAATGTAGAAAAAAGCAAGGTACAACACTAGAACCTGTGTGTATAGGAGTATTATGATAACAAATGAAAAACAGTGTTGGTAAATTTAACTAACTGTTATGGACTGAAAAAGTTACCCCACTGAATGGAAAATATTATAGAAAATGAACATGCATTAAAAACTTAGGAACAGAAATGTATTCAATAAAGAAAAGTTTTGTTTAATTCTATACATAATTGTGATTTAGGGTTTATTTCAGCTCTGAGCGACAACATTAGTGTTTGCGAATTTCTTGAAATTTGTCTGAGCACAATATGGCGCTTGTAGCCCCCTAGGGGAAAAATTCGTAATAGTCATAAACAAAATTACGCTAATTTGACCTTGTAACTTCAATACGACTGTAGCTTTATCGATTTTAGCCAGTCACTGTTTCTCATCCTCGGTTGACATGGTATGGTGTAACCGCCAGTATACCAGCTTTGTGAAGCGATAGGCTAGTGATCTAAATACGTAATGAAAGCTCTTTTCTGTTCTGTTTCACTGTACAAACAAATGTGGCTTCCAGTTCAGTGAAGATTCGCTTAGAGATAATAGCAAAGTGATACGAAGCTAAGCTTTAGATATGTTGTGAACACATTGTGCCACAATTATAGTCCTGGTGGATTTTTTTTTTTGTAAAAAGCATGCTTTATCATTTTATACTTCATTTAAATTATGATCTTGCAGTATAATATGAAAATAAATGTTTTTCGTGGAACAAGACGCTAGTCCTTACACACAATAAACTAACATGCCAAACATGCAATGTGAATAAATATTAAAAGGTTAGTTACAAAACACTGTAAGCAATATAAAATAACATCTGGAGTAGTCTGGCCATACCCAGAACGAGATAGCGATCACTATAAAGTAAAGTACATAAAAATCAATTACATTACAGTAAACAAAACTATATCGATGTAATCATACTATTACTGAAACATCGACCTCTATGTAAATAGTAGAAAGCTATATTATTATTTTTCTAGCCGATAGTCATTTCAACCATGTCCATAGGGATTCAGCGGTTTAGATAATAGATAAACGGTTCTACCATTTATTTCCCTAATATGACAAAGGAATTTCTCTGTGGATGAGACTGTTATAATAATTAGATCACCTTTGATATTCGGACTAGTCCCCAACTCATTATTTCGCCTTGTGTATAATACGCCTACCCAGTCTTCTCAAATTTAATTTAACCATGTACGACCTTTTTTCTCTATACCTAGCTAATTCTTGTGACGGATATGGCCTAGTGGTTAGCGTAACAGGCTGCGAATCTCAATTTCTAAGGTTTCGTGTGATTATGCCGATAAACACGCAGTGCACTTTCAGCTAAGTGCGGTATAAAAGTGACAATCAATACGTTTATTCTGTTCAAAGCTCGACAAAGCCCTTGTAGCGGCGGGTGATCCTAGGTGTTTCTCACCTGGCGGTTTAGCCCATGTGTGTATAATATGCCTTTCAGGTTGAATATGTGCCATACACGGGACTAATCCTCTGAATCTCACTCTTGAGGAATTACACTAGGATCGTAACGTTACTTGGGAATCATTGCAGGTAGTTTTTTTTATAAGCATGAAAAAAAATAGTATTTTGATCTAATAAAACGAGATTTCAAAACATTTACGCAGCACAACTTATAAATGCAGCAATAACCGCTTCTTCAACTACTAAATAATATACCGTATTTTTCGGTGTATAAGACGCACTTTCTTACCTAAAAATTTGATTT